AGCCGAAAACAAACATGAGCCGGCGATTCTTGACTCTCGATGGTTCTCCCTCCGGTGACGGATGATCTCACTCGCCATTCGTTTTTGTTTCAAGGGAGGGGGGGGGGGTGGTTCCGGAATGCTGTATAAACGTGGGGGTCGAAAGCTCTGCCGGCGAGCTGTATAGCCCTGCCTGCGAGCTTGGTGCAAGTCATGCTGGCAAGCATGGTTGCTCGGTTATCGGTGTGTTCTTCAATCCTGCAGAATCAGTGCATTCTGCTTTGTCCAGATTGAGCTGAGGGTTTGCATGTTCTGTTTGCATGCCTGCTGCATGCATTCCCACATATAGAAGTGTTCGGCTGCATGGGCACTGCTGCTCATTGGGCTCGGGTCCGTCTCTATCCGCCGGCAGGGCTGGGAGCTCGCCGTTGAGCAGGACAGAGACTGACTTTGGAAGCTATATAGACTTCCGAGCCATGACTTCGAACGGTGCTGCCGGGTTCTTGACACAGTTGAACCAGCTTCTGGCAAGCCAACAGCCGCTGATGGGAGATCAGTTTGCCAGTATGTTGGAGTCGCAGAAGGAGTGTGCTGTTCGGGCAATACGACAGCACAAGATCTCCCTCGAGCAGGCCACGGAGATCTGCAACCTCGTTCGTGCAGGACCATGGACGGAGCCTCAAAAACAGGAACTTGCCAAGATCGTCTCCGACACCGTTGCCAAAGGCATGCACTCCACCGTCCAGGCTAAGAACAAACGTGAAAACCAAGAAGTCCAGAATTTCTGGAGCTTTCTATCGGCTACGGACAAGCAGGTTCTTCGAGAGGGGGACACACTTCAGTTCCGGCTCAACCACACAGCAGAGCTGATGGGGAAACTGAATTTGTTCTGGCCCAGCGAACAGGCAGTCGGCCACATTGTCAAGACAATGCACTTTCTTCGAAAGGATGGTTTGGAAACACCCGACGATTTTCACGGAGCCGTGAAGCGGTTGAAGTCCTTGGTGAAGGCTCGCCTGAAGAAGGCCCCCAAAGATCTCGAGTACGTGAAGATCTACACACTGCCTGAGCATTTGCCTCCCTCTCTTCGTGGATCCTTCTCAGATGCCGAGGGTGGCGAGTTGCCATCGTCTTCTACTGCCATCAGTGGACCCTTGCGGGGAAGCAGCAAGGCATTGAAGAAGCTTGCATTGCCTCCACTTCCAGATGCCTCGTGTGGGGTGTCACTGGGTGGCCTCATGCAGATGTGTCACGGCCTCATGGAGATGCAGCAGAGGCAGATGCAGCAACAGCAGCACCAAGCGAGCCATGGCACCGACTTGCCAGGTTTCAAGTGGCTTGGCAAGGGCGGCACCGGTGGCAGCAATGCTGGGCTGGCAAGCATGAGCACCCCGGCTATTACCAATGCGACCTCAAGTATCTCGAAGCCTGCCGAGCATGAGCCGGATGCCAAGCAGATCCTCCCCTTCCCCAAAGAGGAGAACCCTGCAGAGCAGCTCGCAGGTTCTGCAGGGCTGGCTACGGGACAGGAGCCTGTCAATGCTGCACAGCAAGCACAGGAGATGTTGCAGGCATGGGATCTCGGCGGCAAGAACAAGAAGAATCAGAAGGAGATCGATGAGGAGGACCGGTGCGACAAGCCCAATGCCAAGAAGCCCAAGGCGAAGGCGAAGGCGAAGGCGAAGTCGCAACCGAAAGCCAAGGCACAGACCAAGGCAAAAGCCAAAGCTAAGTCCCAGGCTAAAGCCAAGGCCCAGCCAAAGAAGGGTGCATTGAAGAAGCCTGCAGCCTTCAAAGGGTTGAGCTTCAGCGAAAGACTGAAGCTCAGGCCGTGGGGTTGCTCCAAGTGCCGACAAAAGCCCGGCTGTACACCCAGCTGCCTCCGAAAGGCTGGGTACTAGGTATCGGCAGTGGTTGCTTTTTGTGTATACATGAAGAAACAAACTCCTACATAGGCTGTTGCACTTCCGTGATGATTGCTTTGATGTGTTGCTTGAATCTGCATTTGGAGCACCTGTGCGCCACGGGGTGCTTCGTGAGATCTGGCATGGGCACATGTGCACGAAGGGGATTCGTGCCGGCCTCGAGAGATGTGTCCGTGCAAAGAATGGAAGAAAAAGTGCCTGCGACTGCATAGACGGAGTGGCATGTGCAGCATGGTGCAACTGGTGCATGCATGCACCACATATACATGGCTTCGTTCTGCATTTGTGCTTTGCAGTATACCTCGAGTCCCAAAGTTGAGACTGTGCAATTTAAGTATATAGAGGGTTTATATATATAGGCTTTAAAGTTTATATAGGGTTTATAGGTTTATAGGGTACAGTCATGGTTTGTATAATTGCAGGAACATATATGGACTTTTTTTTGTGGTATAGATAAGGATATTATATCTATATAAGACTTTATATCTATATAATATAGTATATGTATATAGGATATATATATATGTGGGAATTGTACATTGCAAGAATGCACATCGAAACCGTTTTATGTTGCAGTCCTGACTTCAACTCGGCCGCTTTTGCAGGGCTGTGTTATACACACACGAGCTCGCAAGCAGGCCATGTCCACGAAAGATGTGCCTGCATCGGCGAACCCTCTGTCGTATTTGGGCAGGAAAGTCTTCGCCACACAACGAGCCCTCGCTGAGATCCTCAAAGAGATTCGTGAGCTGGATGAGGTACCCGCAGCGACCAGCCGGAGCTCGGTGAAACGGGCCCGTGAACAGAAGCTGCAGGAGTACGAAACCGCTTATGGTCACATATACATCGAGCCGACACTGCAAAAAGAAGACGGCACCGATGTGACGATTCCAATGTTGTCTCCGGCTGCAATGCTCACATGGGCAACCCAGCATTGCCAAGCCTTCGGGGAATTCCTCGAGAAAAGGCTGGATCTGAACCCACCCAGTATCGACAAGAGCTGGTCCCTGGTGTGGTACAGCGACGAAATCGCACCAGGGAACCAACTGAAGCATGTCAACAAAAGAAAAGTCCAGGTGATATACTGGAGCCTGCAGCAACTAGGCAATCATGCCAGAGGTTGCGAGACATGCTGGTTCACCCTGACAGCTGTTCGAAGTTCTGTGGTGGCGGATATGGGAGGCATGGCTGTCCTGCTTCGACAGATTGCTAGATTTTTCTTCGAAGTGCCTGATTGGCGACAAGGACTTCTGTTGACCTGTCCGACCGGCCCTCGCATGCTGTTTGCAGACTTGCGAGTCCTCATATCGGACGAGGCTGCAATCAAGCAGTCGCTCTGCAACAAAGGAGCAAGCGGGTTGATTTTCTGCATTCATTGCCAGAATGCCGTGGACCACAAGTCACATGTTGCAGGCAACAGCGGCGGCAGTCAGATTTCAAGCCTCGAGACCGACATATCTCGGTTTCGGCAACAAACACAGAGGTCCGTCAAAGAATATATGGACTATCTGGCCCAGCAACAGCCGCTGCAGAGCAAGGCCCGATTCGAAAAGTTGCAGACAGCATTGGGCTTCAACTTTAAGCCCATGGGACTGCTGGCCCATCCGGCCTATGGCCCCAAGGTCATTGACTGCATAATGTTCGATTGGATGCACGTCTACCTGGTTAATGGGCTGTTCAATGTGTTGACGGGCCTTTTCCTGGGAGACCTTCATGTGCAGGGATGGAAGGGCCCGGACATTCAGCGGTTCGCAGACGGCTTCACGTGGCCGGCACGTCTGCGAGGTGCGGCACCGAAGGATGTGTTGCACAAGAGAGGATCGCCTAGTGATTCTCTCAAGTGCAGTGCATCGGAGGCTCTCAACTTCTTGCAGGTGCTGCGAACCTATCTTGTGCTCTGGGTGCTGCCGCAGTGCAACGAGGACATGAGAAATGCATGCGAGGTTTGGTTGGCCATGTGCAAGGTTCTCGATGCTTTGCAAAAGATCGCCGTGGGAGATGGTTGCACTGCAGTCGAGCTGCAAGCTTTGGTCAAAGGCCATCTGGACCTCGCTAAGGCCCGGTACGGTGCGGACTCCTTTTGGGTCCCAAAGTGCCACCTAGCACTTCACCTGCCGCTTCAGTTGGCCAAGCACTCATGTCTCATGAGTTGCTTTGTCCATGAACGTAAACACAAAATCGTCAAGAAGATCTCCAATCAAGTGCTCGACACCAGCAGAGCCTTTGAAAAGAGTATCCTCGACGACGTGCTACATGGACATGTGCAGCAACTCGCCGATCCGGCTTTTCTTCCAGGAGAAGCTTGCCTGCATGCATGCATTTATTTATTCTGCAATATATGACTCCATTTTGTTATATATATCTATATAAGAGTTGGCAACATTTTTTCCAGCTTCGTCGGGTGCAGTTCAGGAAGGGGTGCACTTGGTTCAGCCTGTGCGGCCAGCCCCTGCCAAGCTCCAAGCCGAGCTCCGGCGATGCTTGAACATCCAGGGCGAGATCATGACAGCAAACCAGGCTGTGCATGCAGGGAACTTTGCAGTTTCGGCAAAAGACCTGGCGGTTTTGCATCTGGATGGCCAAAGGCTTGTCGGCAGGGTGGGGTACCACATCCAAGCAGATGCATCTTGCTGGTCACATGTCACCCTGTGGAAGCACGTGCATGGAGCCATGTTCACCCTGTCGGAGGATGTGGCCCTTGTAGAAACCAGGCATATACATGCCACCTGTGCCTTCAGTGTGCAAGGCGACAGTGCTGTCGTTGTGCTGCCATGAAAAGAGAGACCTGCCTGCGAGCTATAGCCCTGCAATGGCGATCTGTGTGCATAAAAACCAGACGGGTGAAACCACTTAGCCTACTTAGCTCAGTTACATAAGTGTACTTACATGGCACGATAACTGGACATAGATATCCATGCTAAATGAACTTAGCTAAGTCAGTCATCTCTTTTCATAAGTCCTATAACCGAATAACAACCTGGACAACCATTTCCTAAGCCCACCGGTCCTTTAAGCAGAGCGCCCTCAGCGCCCTCCGCGCACTCAACTCAGCGCTCAGCGCCCGCTGCCCCTTGA